TCTTGGGCAAACACATAACAGAAATTGTTGTTTTTCTTTTATATTTTTTATAGCGTATTTATGGCCTTATATCTGAAACGCAGTTTAATAATTCTTGCACTTGTATATACGTATGGTATATATATAAATATAGATAAATGGATAGGCACAATCTCCCTGCAAATATTTGCTGTATAGTTTTGTTTATAGAGTTGTTTTAGCAATTTAATGCAAAAATAAGCCAGCAAAAATCATTTATTTATTCTCTGTGGTTTTTGTGTGTGTATGGAACAAACAGATACCCTAACGAAAAGAAATACGTAAAAAGGGTTTATATAATAAGAGATACTGTTATGCCTATGCCATGAGCCACGCCCACTCGTGCATAATACAAAAGTAATTTTATAATTTATGTAATTAATTTTATTTGTTGTGAATTTTTTCTCTAGCTCTTGGTCGTTTTTGCAAGTAACGAAAATATTGAAAGCTTAGAGATTGCGACGTAATTAATTCAAATAGAGGGGCACAACTAGAACTTGATAGTGAAACCGACGACTTCTCAAGCTCCCATTTTACCCTTCCCCCGCTTCGTCGTCTCCGCTTGCCGGCCGGCGCCGGCTAATGCGTCAGAGATAATGTTGACTCAAAAGCTAGAAATCTTATACCCGTTTTTTTTTATTTGTTGTTTTATTCTCGTTTTTTGCAAAGCAATAGAAAGATGAGAGAGAAAGAAGAAATAGAGAAAAACAACTTATTTTTAAGCTTGTTTTGGTTTCTGTTTTCTATGGCTTCCAATTGACGTTTGACTGTATCACAAACAAAACACCAGGCGCTGTATATACTACATACCATATACTATATTCGTGAGTGATTCGATAATCGGTAATGCGAGAGTTAAATGCAACGCTTCTCCCGGCTCTCGTTAGATAAGCTCAAAAACCTCAAATGTTTCGCTCGCCTGTTTTTCGCAACGTGTCAAAAATATACCTACAAATAGAATCTAGAGTTTTGAGTTGTTTTGTTTTTAAGAGTTTAAGCTGATGAAATACGATGAATTCATTTCACCAGGCGTTTCTCGATTCCATTAAGACATCAGGTGATGTATTACCAAAGATTAGCTATATGTTTAGTTTAAACGAGGTGAGAGGTGAATAAAATCTCTTTATTGCACGTGGGCAATAAATGGAAAAATGTCAAAATAACAATATAAAAAGAAATCAAACATTAAAAAAAAAAAACAAAAATAATGAAAAAAAATTAAAATAAAAATGAATTGAAAAAAAAATAATAGAAAAGGAAAATATTGAAAAAAGTAACAATAAATAGAAGTCACAAAAATTTGTGATTAGCTGTTCGACAACAAATTATCTGCAATTTATCATAATTAATTTTCCTACAGCACAAAGAAAGAATTTAAAAAAAAAATCAAGTAAATTATCAAAACAAAATGATTTGCAGAAATTGAAAAAAAGCAATGCGCAAAAAGTCGGCAAACATAAACGAAAGCGAAGAAGAAAACATAATAAAAGAACAGGAAGAATACAAAATTTTGTTTATTTCGTTGCTTTCCACAATAGAATTTACGTAATTGATAAGAGTTAAAAAGGAAAGAGAAAAACGCACTAAATAGGTCAAATTTAAATTTAGATAAGAGCGAGTGGCCACAGACATGCCATGTATACATGTACAAATGTGCGTCAAGAAGGCGTTGAAACGTGTGTGCAACTGGGCGTGGCAATGCAGATGACGTGTATATGTGGGGGGTATTTGTGAATTTGGTGGGCTCTCAGCCAAAATATTCACTCAGCGGCGAGACACAATAATAAAACGAGAATTTTATAACCGCAAAATTATTCGATGCGAGAAACTGAGAAATGACGTCCGAGAATTGATGTGATTAGGGTGAAGAATTAAGAGGGAAGAAGAAATGGGGAAGAGGGCTGCACCGGAACCAAGTAAAAAGTAAAAACAAAAAAGAATGTAGTATAAAATAAAAATGAAAGCTTGTCTAAATATTTAAAAGTATTTATTTGTTTATCAACGTTTGCGTCTATATTGCGTTCTAGATAAATAGTTAATGCCAGCAGCCAGCCAAAAGGCGGAAGAGTACAAGAGAATGTCTAGAAAGAAATTGGGTCACAACATAATACTATATAAAATGTATGTATTTGTGTCTATGAAGTGTGTACGTGTGATTGGCAAGTGGACTTAAAGCATGCGATAAGGAATGATTGATTGGAAAGTAGAGTAAAGATTGTATGGCAATATTTACAAAAGTTGTGAGACTGATTAGAAGGAGCATCGCAGGATTTGTCTTTACAGGATTATTTAAATGTAATCCATTTAAGTCAATTTTGATGTATGACCTTTAAAAGAATTCTAATAGTGGTGCTAATAAAAATATATCATTGGGAGAAAATGAGTGATCATTTAGAAGGAATTCCATAAATGATCTTTTGGTTAACTTATAATAATAACAAATAAATAAACGTAATAAATATATAATAGACACTTAAACTATGATTCTTTTATGTATGTATTTAAATATTACTGATCGCAATTCCGAGCTATTTTTATTCGCTTCAGTAGTTGAATGATCATGTCATGTTGTTTAGGTAGCCCTATCCAATTACTATTGTATATACGCATTGAGTTACTTGGAGTAGTTCGTATGGTCGGTCTGGTCGTTTATTTATTTTTATTATGCGTCTCAACAACAGCAGAAGTCTGTCACCAAAGGCCAACTACCTCTGCTGCTCAAAGGTCCAATGTTTATGAGCATTAGATTTATTATTATTATATAGACATCCAACCCCATCAACTGTCTCAATCAACCCGTCCACTTCGCACCACTCCCCATTGAACTCTGCTGATTATGAGTTACATTTGCGAGCTGCAATTGGCGATTGGGTGGGCCAGCGATCTGTCAGTTGTTCCACCTCCTTTGCCTTCTCTTTCCTCATTTCTTCCTTAAACGTTTTAAGTAAGCAGACAGAGTCGTAAGTCCCATGATATCTATAAATAGAATATTGAACGCACAAACGATTCGTGTGTCTGTTTTATGACGGCAATTAAAGAGAACCAGAAAGCGTAACCTGTATAGTCCCGACGAAGCTCAAATACGCTGCAGGTCTGAAGACTTATTTACCCAAAGAAATGCAGATAAGCCTATAACTGTTGTAAAATTAGTAAACGTTGTATGATAGCTAAATAAAAATAATTTTAAAAAATATGGATAATTCTTTGAGTGATAAAACTAAAGCGCTCTGTCTGTAAGGGTATAAAATTATAAAAATGCGTTGACTTCGCCTGCTGCTCATCATCATTATTATGAACGTAATGAAGTCGATTATTGTCGTAAGCATTGTCAGGCATCGATTGCCGCCTGTGGTCTTCCTCGTCGATCTCTCCCTCCCTCTTCCTCACTGAATTCAGTTTTCATAATAAACTTTTGATATGTGCTCCCAGCTTTTAGCTGTCAGCTCTTAGCTCTTAGCTCTCAGCTCTCAATAAGCATATATTTAATTTTACATATTTTATTTTTTATTATAATTTTTCTTTTTTACTCGCGACTTGTTTACGACACGCGATTTGCTTTCTACGCAGTTGCGCTAGAATTTTGTACTCGCTTTAGCGATCCATCTATATATGCATAATTTGTATTATTTTTCTATACACACTTGTTTATTTATAAACATTTATGCATTGATAAAAACTTGAATATAGGAATACAAACATGGCAACTGGTCGCCGATAAATGTGCGCAAATATTTATTGTGCGAACCGAAACCTAATGGTCGTTCTTATGTATATATTTCTCTCGATTTGCTGTAGCTGACTTGATAAGCACTTGTTGCTTTGTTTGATTAACATTTTGTTGAATCTTCATTTAACGCCAACCTACGAAATCGAAGGCTGCACAACAAAAATCTAAGCAAAGAATTAAAATGTCACGCTTTTTAATTTGTAAGATGGACAGCAGCAACAGCAGCCGCACTGAAAAGAGATTCAAAAAGTTTCACCAAGGCTTATTTAAATGATTAATATTGACATACATACCTATGAATGAAATATGACTATATATTTATATTGGAATGTGAGAGTCTCAGTTGAAACAGATTTTTACAGTATGCACCAGCACTACCACAATAGGAACACGCATTTATATTCCTGTATCACTATATTAAGTTAGAATTTCAGACTTGTTTGTCTGCCGCCTGTCCGTCTATATAATTATGTACATACAAATAAACACTCTAGGCCATAGTCATATTCATAGTCAATATTTATTTTAAAAACCTTTCTTATATATCTTAAGCAAATCATATAAATCATTTGTAATTTTGTTTGATATTCTAAGTCTACGTATAAAGGATTTCATCATTATTTGCAAACAGCTGCCAATAATATTTGGTTACGATCACAATCTTTATAAGGTGTAGTGTTGAGTAGAACCCCCTTTTAAGAGGTGACTCAAATGATTTGAACAGCGGAATGGCATGTTTACACGTTGCTCCTTATTATTATAAATGTTGGAAATAAAAACAAGCAATGAAACTTCAATTATTTATTCTAAAGCAGTGAATTTACTATTTATTTTTAATAGTATAAATTAAATAAATAATATCAAATCAACTCAAAAAAAGATACACATATATGTGCATGTACTTTGGTAACTATTGATACTTTCTTCCATAAAAGCATTAAGATATAAAAAAGAGTGTAAACATTCTCTTAATAAGAAACATGTTTGTGGGTATAATGAAATTACCTTTAGGGGCTCGTAAAAATGAGGTTGTCAGCAGTAGTTTTCAAGAACGCCACAGTTCACCTCGAAACGTTGCGCAGAGCAGTTGCAAACAGTAGCAACTGAATATTTAGCTCATAACGATCAAACGTTTTTTAATTTCGTCATATTTCTTTAATAATTTATTATTGCATAAAATTTGGTAATTCCAATAAATTGTTTGGTTCTTATTCAACTACAATTATTCATATTTCGCTTACAATTGCAATTACAGACGGCCAGAATGAGTTAACGCGCTATAGCAGCGAAGATGTGTCCGGGAACGAGTCGAGCGAAGCGCCGAACATGACCGAGGTGGAACGTCAGGCGGAGCTTAATCGGCATAAGGAAGAGATGCAAAAGAAGCGTCGTAAGAAACGCATCAGCTCCTCGCTGCACTCGTCAACTTTTCAAGGCAAGTAGATATATAGATGAATAAATATTTCAAGGATCTATGTAATGAAACCGAGCTTCTCCATTCCCACTGTAGAATTGTATAAACTGACGGGCGAGATATTGGGAGAGGGCGCCTATGCTTCGGTGCAGACATGCGTTAATATCTATACCGATCTGGAGTATGCTGTGAAGGTTATCGATAAGATACCGGGACATGCGCGTGCGCGTGTCTTTCGTGAAGTGGAGACATTCCATCACTGTCAGGGACATCCGGGCATCTTGCAATTGATCGAATTCTTTGAGGATGATGAGAAATTCTATTTAGTGTTTGAGAAAATTAATGGCGGCCCATTGCTGACACGTATCCAGGAGAAAATATGTTTCTCGGAGCATGAGGCGGCGCAGATTATCAAGGAGATTGCGTCCGGCTTAGATTTTCTGCACAAGAAGGGCATTGCTCATCGTGATCTCAAGCCGGAGAATATATTGTGCGTAAAAACGGATTCGCTCTGTCCGATTAAAATTTGTGATTTCGATTTGGGCTCCGGCATTAAGTTCACCACGGACATATCATCACCAGCCGCTACGCCCCAACTATTGACACCAGTGAGTTAGCTTTTATTGTGAAACTAAGCGCTATATAATTTCAAATTCACTTTCTATCCATTTAAAGGTCGGCAGCGCTGAGTTTATGGCTCCCGAAGTAGTCGATTTGTTCGTGGGCGAGGCCAATTACTATGATAAGCGCTGCGATTTGTGGTCCCTTGGCGTTATTGCCTACATTTTACTCTGCGGGTATCCTCCATTTTCGGGCAACTGCGGCGAGGATTGTGGCTGGAATCGCGGTGAGAACTGTCGAATGTGCCAAGAGCTGCTCTTCGAGTCTATTCAAGACGGTATGTATATCGATAGAAAATTAATTATAAAAAAGAGTGTAATATCTTTGTATTCTGGATAGGCCGATTTTCTTTTCCGGAGGCCGAGTGGCATGATGTGAGCGATGAGGCCAAAGATTTAATTTGCCGTCTTCTGGTTAAGGAGGCATCCAAGCGCCTAAGCGCCGAAGCTGTGCTCACTCATAAGTGGATACGCATGTGCGAGCAGGAACCGCCTGTCAGCAAACAGACGATTCGCCATAAGGCGCTGCAAACGCCAAGCAATATCCGACGGTAGCTATCATTTTATTCATTTAGTATATGGAATATATTAACAAATTGTATGTTTTTTATAGTAATCACCAGTCGGCACGTGAGATTTCGCAGTTTGCCGAGTCTGCAATGGCCGTGAAACGTGTGATCCTGCAGCATTTCTCGATGCGCTACGATTATATGAAAGAGCGCCCGAATATCTATCAGCCCTCGCAGGCCTATATGGACGCGTACAGCGATGAAAATTATAATCCAAAGCCGCCGGCACATTTTACACGTAGCCGCTCGCAGCGTAATGCATCCACATTATCTTCTGCTGCCGTAGCCAACAACAACTCAAATGCGTCATCATTATCTACTTACGGCGGTCGACTGTCTACGGCTCCGCGCAATGGAGGCAGCAACCATAGCCGTCAATCGTCGAGGAATGCCTCTGGCATATTTAACAATAGCGGTGCCTTCAAAACCCTCAATGTGCATGAGGAGGATGATGACGATGAAGAGGCGTTGGAGGCTTTTGGACGGCTGGACGATGATGTCGATGATGAGTGGGTGCAGTTGACGCGTCGCTATCAGGAGCAGCGTGAGCTGCAACAGCAGCAGCAGGAGCAGGAGCAACATCCCGATGCTGGCAATGGTGGTGATCAAATGTATGATGATGATGAGTTGGTTGAAGCAGAAGAGAAGGAGGAGGGAGAGGGCGAGGACTATCAGCATTACAAGCATTATTGGCGCACGCTAGACGAAGAAGAGGGTGATGATTATCTTTATGAGCAGAAGCAACGCGAGGATGATATAGCTGAGGAAGATGATGATTACGTCGAGGAAGAAGAGAATCATACGATAATGGAGAAAAATGAGGCCGACAATCGAAAACAATTGAAAGCTAAAGATGATGAGAAGGAGAATGAACTTATTATTGATAATATGGAAGAATTAAAGCAAAGCGAATTTGCTACAACAGCAACAACAATGCGCAACAATGCGCAGGAGATAAGAGTGTTTAAAGATGAGGAGAAGCAAAAGAAAGAAGATGATGATGATGATGATGTTGATGGGGCCAGGAAGCAACAAACAACATCATGTGATATTAGTGCTACTACAATCACCAATACCAACACCAACAGCAGCAACAAAATGCAAACAACACCAGTTAAAGAAACAGCAACAACAACAACCCAAACGAACGGCAACCAAGGCAATGATAAGGATAACGATTATGCTAATGATTACGATAATGATAATGAAAATGATAATGATAATGATGATGATTATGTTAAACTATTGGATAGTATTAGTGATTTAAATGAAAAGCTACCTGAAATTTATGAGACTGCAAATATTGTTGTCAACTCAGCGGCAGTGCCGGCAACAAAAACAACAACAGCAGCAGCAGCAAAAAGAGCAACATGCCCACCAAACGATAACGATAACGATAACGATAAAAATGTAGATGATTTGAAAGTGTCGACAACTGCAGCTGAGGGGACAACAATGCGAACGACTTTTGGCAAACAACAACAACAACAACAGCAACAGCAAGAAGAACAACTACCTGCTGGCAACAACAGTAACAAACAACAGCGCAATGTTTACTTTGCATTGGATGCATATCAAAATGACGAGGACGCCGATATTGATGAAGAGGATGATGACTACGATGATGATGACGATGATGAAGATGAAGATGATGATTATAATGATGAGCATGAGCTGAAGCCAACTGGAAATGGTTTGAAGCCAACGCCACCTGCCATATGTAATGCATATACACGAAAGCAACGGCAACAGCAGCAACAACGCTATGTAGCGCCACGCCCCGAAACGCACCGCCTAGAGAACTGGCGCTACCGCAGCCATCAATCGGAGCAACCGCAGCAGCATCAAATGATCATTGCTGGTGGGGGAGGAGCCTTTCGAAAATATCGCCCACCCTTTAGCACTGGCGGAGGTGGTGGCCATCATGGCAATCAACAGCGCAACTATTTGGGCAGTTTCTCGCACGGCGGCGGTGCTGCTGGCTACAAGATACAACAGCAGCAGAATCTGCAACAGCAGCGGCACAACAGTGCTGGCAGCAGCAGCGGTGGCTCGCCGCCTTCGGATGAGCACTCGACGTCACCTGCTACGCAGATTCGAAATTGGCGTCAGGATTGCGTCTATGCGCCTATGCGTAGCTGCGGCATGAATCAGCCAAGCAGAGGCTTGCAGCGCGCGCATCACCATCCGCAGCATCAACAGCAGCAGCAGCAGCAGCCAACTGGACGCATTGGCTCTGGGCGCTTTGTCCATTCGTCCCAAGTGCCGCCACATCTATTGGATGAGCCGCCCACATTGGGTATCGGACTATCGCCACCCAGCGAGAGCCTGTTGCTTCAGCGGCGCATGCGGCAGCAGCAGCGACCCGGGGATTTGGCCGAATACTGTGAGCCTGCCACGGCCAGTGGCTAAGTATATCATGAACAATAGCAACAACTGCAGCTGTCAGAAGGCGTCCCATTTTGTTGGGGATTATGGCATTCGAGCCAAAACAGAAAACAAAAACAAACTTTGTTAAATGTTTTCTTTTCGTTTCCTTTTTTGTTCTTTTTCTTTGTATAATTATTTTTTATATACAAATCACAAAACAACAAAAATATCTTACATTTGCAAATTATAATTAATAATTTGCTTGAATAATTTCTTGAAGCTTTATACATACAAAAACTGTAAACAGCAAGAAACTACTTAAAATTCCGTCTTAATTTAATACAAACTTAAAATTTGTGTTTCTGGTAATCATTAAGAAAAAGCAAAGAAGAGCGCCCTTCAAAAAGCAATCCAAAATATGCTGTTTAATTAAGCAAACAACAACAACAAGAAAACCAAACAGTCGTTCGAATGAAAAATAAAAAACAAAAACTTTTTTTATAAAAAAGATTTAAAAAAGTGAAAAAAAACGAACATGTAATTATTCGCTATAATTTTTTATTATGAAAATAAAAAAAAAATATGAATGCAAACTGCGTTTAAGCGAGTTACAAACTCACACACACACACAAACACACACAACACAAACACATACCTAAACGTATAAATTATTCCTATATTTGGAAAGGAAAAACCAGTTGCCGCCAAAAATTGTTACTTTTTTGTGCTTTTCTGTTGAGAGTAGAAGAAGTAAAGTTGTTTGCATATATCTGTTTTCTTTTTTCGGCTCAACTATATCAATTTAAAAACAAAAACTTTGTAAACAATTAAGAAAATCCAAAATGTACAACAAATTGTTTATCATTTTCATTAATTGTTACAAAAACAAAAAAAAAGTAATGAAAAAAGTTAAGAACAAACCTTTACGAAACCCGAAGAATTGAGTTACATTTTTGACGGGCTCTGAACAATTGTTCAGGGCCACACACATATATATATATACATATACATACATACTCACACGTACTCCTAATAGGAGTTCTAAGAAATTTTCAGCTGTTATGTAAGCAATTTTCATTTATCAATTCGAGTAATTGGAATAATGAATACATTTTTATATCAAAATTTGCTTAAAAAATACTTGAATATTGCTTAAAACTCCACTTGGGCACATTTTACTCAGTGTGCGCTTAAGTTTTTGTTAAAATTTAAAGAGAAATCAAACCAAGCAAATTCCCATTCCTTTAACATGCATGTTAAACGCATATTGAAAAAGCTCTAATCGGTAAATTCGAGAAGGGCATTTTCCGACACTATATTTACTTTCAACTAAATTTCAACTTTTCCAACGTTTTTTTTACAAGAACTAAAAGAAAAAACAAAAACAAAAGCAGAGAGAATTCTTGACACATTGCTCAACAAGTTTTTTGCTGGGCGTAAATATTAAACATTGAAATGGAAACCATGTGTTAATTACAAAATAATAATAATAATAATACAAATTGTGATATAAAATGTAAATGTAAATGCACCTGAAGAAAAATTAAGAAACTATCAACTGACGCTGTGCCATTAACAACAACAACAACAACAACAAGAACAACAATACCGACCACAACAACTACATAACACTGATAATAAATGTAGCAGACCTAGATCGAGGTTTAAGGGAGACAGAAATTCTTCAATTATTATTATATTTTTGTTCTTTTTCCACACGTTTACGCCCCCTCCCCCAACGAGAAGAGATACGAACTGTCAGAATGCTTTGCGCCCCAACAAATTGTATACATACGTACATAAGAACATACTTCTATTTTTCCAAACAACAAAACTGTAACTAAAAACAAGAAAAAAAAACTCAAAAACGAAAGCAAAAAAAAAAAAATAAAAAAAAAAACAAAATACTTCCATAAAAAAAAAAGAGAAACTAACTATCTATGCAAAAAACAGAACAAATAAGAGAAACTTAATAATATTACAATCTTTTAACAAACTTCAACAACAATAAATTCATTTGCAAATTGAAAATGTTTTTAATATTTAAGTGCGAGGGCCCCAGATAATTTAAAATAATTTATACAACTATGTATTCCTATAAAAAACAACTAATTTGTTTGCATTATAAACAGAAACTCACGATGATATTGATGATGATGGCAAAAACAAAAAAGAGAAGAAAAAACTAAGGAACGCTCTTGTTTAAATATGTAAAACTGTGAGAAATGTTTCGCAACGAAACAAAAAAACATATATGGTACCATTTATAAGAAAGAAAACTATGCGAGAGGCGTGTTAAGCAAGCAGCGCTCCAAAAGAGAGAATCGTATACTATTACAGAACACTAATTTACATTACACTACGCTACACAACACTACACTATACAACACTACACTATACAATACTACACTACACAACACTACACTATACAACACTACACTACACTACACACAACACAAGCACACCAATACACATTTGCTTACACTACATATAAACTAAAATATAAGTAAACTTTAGTTTTATGCAAAAAAAAAAAAGAAATGAAAAAGTGAAAAAAAGAAACGGAAATGTTCGTAAATATTACGAATATAATTTAGCCGTTACCATTTCTAATAACAACGCGCTACTTTACTCTTTGAAAATGAAAAACAACAACCAATATACTCTGGGCGACTCACTGAGAGTAGGGCATATAAAGTGTGTGCATAGCCGGCGAGCGATTTGTATTTGTGCGCAAGTTTGTAAAGTCCGAAGAAATAAATTCTTTTTTTAATGATCGAAGACACGGCAAAAAGAAATCGAAAGTTAAGAAACAAAACAAAAAGCAAACTTAAAATGGAAAATGAGATATTGTTTTATACAAAAAAAAAAAACGATAGAAAAAGTCAATAAAAATGCAAAATATACAAAATGTTAAATGGAACGAGTTTTATTTCTCTTAGTTCGAACCACGAAATGCCAAAAATAGAGCAAATATTTTAACAAAATTGTGAGGCATGTATTTGTTGCTCTTAAAAACAGGGTATTAGTACTGCTAATGTTCGTTTCATTCTAAACCAGATGAGTCCAGTCATTTGGATTTAATTTCTATAGGTTGTTTGATTAATAACAACTGTGATTTCGAGTCCTGCTCCATACTCTTAGTATAACCAATGAAGTTCAACTCTATTGTGTCATATATTAGGAAAATTTGGTTGGGGCTTATGTAAACTGATGTAGTTCATGATTCCTCTTAGTTTTCTGGCTAGACAGAGGTGTGTGTGCCATGATTGGGTGGCTCAATTCCTTGTGTCTCCCTAAGATTTGCTCGAATCTCGCCAGATATTGAATTTACCGAGGTGATGGTGTTATTGACGCCCTCGTCACTGGAACTGCCAGCCAGCAAGGGCTTCACATCCGGTTGCTGCTCACGAACTGATGGTTCAAAGCGCTGATTGTTGATGTCCTCAATGGCCTTGAGCAGCTAAAATGATATAGGGGATAATTATTTAACGTATGTTTCCTTGGAAGAATATGTTTAGGGTTTTCTAATATTCAGCTCACCTCCTTCAGGCTGACGACGCCCACAAGGCGGCCAATTTGGGTCACATAGGCATGATTAACGCCCATCATGGAGAACAGGGAGTGCACTCGTAGCAATGAGGTGCGTTCCACCAGCTGGAAGGGCGAGGGATCAATGCGGGCCGCCGAATTATAAAAGTCTATGGGTTTGCTCAATTGATCCAGTTCCCAAAGCTTTTTGCCCTCGGGTGACATATCGACAACGCGATCGCCGATCTGGTGTTAAACAATAGAACAAATAGTGAGAGCTTAACTAATTGTATTGCACTTACGAGGTGTACTCGCTTTGAGGGACTGGTCACCGGCTGCAGGTGCTCATTGGTACCGATTTCCAGATCCAGATCTGACTCCGAGGACTTCTTAAATACAGACTGAAAGGTCGAACGCAAACGGGATTCGGAGTTGCTGTTCAGCGAGTCGTTCGACTGCTGATTACTCTGCTTCAAATTGGATTTTTGCGGATCCTGGGCAGGCACAACCTCAAAGCGTGATGGTCGTCGCTCGGTGGCTTGATCGCTGAGCTCCTCCGTGAGCCATCTTTGAGCCATTTCCATGCGCTTTTCACGTCCAACTTGATCTTCGATCAATTTCACCAGCTCCTGCCGCTGCACAGAGCCAAGCAGTATCATCTTCTCTGGACTATCCACTAGTGGAATTGATCGCAGCTTTTTGTTCATTCTGAGCACGTCCTTGAGCTTCTGGTAGGTGATCCCCTGCCAAATGTACTTAACATCGTGCAGCATAAAGTCAGACACATGCTTGTTGTACAGCGAGGAGTTAGTGTACAGCAGATCGGGCAGGTAGGGCAGCTTCTTGATCATAATGACGCTCTCATACATGGAGGGTTGCAGCAGGGAGGCCACGGCATTGGCCACCAGCACAGCTACCAGGACGGGCACCACGAACGCAATTTGTCCGGTAATCTCGAACACCACAACAGCCACAGAAATCGAGTGAGTCACCGAGCCGGAAAAGGCAGCCGCGCCCACAATCGCATACGCTGCGGGCATAATGGGGGACATGCAATCGCCATACCGCATGCCCAGTGGAAAGATCCAGGCGACAAATTCACCCACCAAACGGCCAAATCCGCTGCCAATCTTCAAAGCTGGAATGAACATGCCATGCGGCACGGCCATTGTGGAGCCAATAATGGATAAAAAGTACTAGGAAAGAGATATGTTGTATGGATGAATTATCTCTTTGGTTGTGGGGAGGGGCACGTACATGGTAAAGCGTAAAGTATATGAGATTGCCAAAGATGTTCGTGTACTTGGTTGACCACTTTGCGACAATGTTCGCCTGCTTCTCACTAAGGTTTTTTTCTGTCCAGGTAAAGTTGCTAAATAGCTGCGTCAACTGATCTTCAGTGCTAATATCCCCGCCAAGAAACTGCCCAGTGCCCAACGGAAAGGTCAGTGAGGATATTAGCAGAGCCAGTATACCGGGATATAAGAGACGACTGGAAAAGGTATAGAATCAGCATCATGCTTAATGACTAACCAGCTGAAAGGTAATCAACTCCGATCTTAATATTTAAACAGTTATATAATATATTTCTGATTAAGCAAAAGATTGTTCAATTGATTGACTGACAGCCTGATATCTCACTGATTGATTGCTTAAACTGTCGTACTTACTTCTTTTGTAGAAACTTATTCAGTTTCTTGCTGGAACGTATGAAGAGCACATAATGTCTATGGACCCAGACAAAGGAGGCGCCCAGCAGTCCACAAAGAGCTCTAAAATAGAAACTATTATTAGAAAGAGCAAGGAGACATCAATGAAAATCTTACCCAGTTAAGGCAAAGAAGACAAGCTCCCTCGAATCAAAAGGAAATTCTGTGCTTATATAGGTGGGATAGACGGCTGTAACTGTGTCAGCGCCCTGGAACCAGACGGCCAAAAGGCGCACTGCCGAAGCGCCCACTACGCAGCCAAAGAAACCACGCCAATAATTGCGCACCGCAAAGTATGTGGTGGTCACCTCGATGCTGAAGAGCACAGCTGCAAGCACGGCGTTTACAAGTTGATCATTTTTATATAGCTATATAATTTTACCTCCAATGGGTGCTGCGAAACAGGTGCCTAGGCCCAAGGCGCAGGCAGCGGCCAGCATTTCGGTGCTGCGTGATTCGTTCTGATAGATACTGCGGAAGGGCGTGGCCATCTTGCTAAGCAGATGCGCCACAATGCTGGCAATGTGCACATAGGGACCCTAAAGCAGCAGAAAACTTAAGAACTTGGCGAATGGCAAGCAGAAGCAGTTTTTCTTTTATGGCTCACCTCCTTGCCCAGTGGCATGCCACTGCCCAAAACGAATGTGAGACCCAATACCTTGGCTATCAGGGTCTTAAACGTGAGATAGTTCTTGAGGGGAACGCCACGCAGAATGGTTTTCATTTCGGGTATTCCGGATCCTAAAACGAAGAACCACTTATTGCTTAAGAGTTACAAACTAAACAGCGCCGATTACCTGCAGCTTGGGGAGCCAAGTAATGTATAAACGTAGTTGTAATCAAGATCATCAAGACAGGTATTGTAACCCAAGTCAAATACCTAGCAAATGGATCTCCGGTAATATCATTGTAGAACCAAAAACGTACTGAAATAATTGTTATGGTCATGAACATATTTAGAAGTCGAACTGACAACTTGTATTACCTGCAGTAAACAATCGAATGCCTTCATCCATGGCGAAAGATATGACGGCCATGATAATGGCACAGGTTGTTAGAAATATCCAATCCTTGCTCAGGCGATCGGATATATGATGCCAGACCCAGGAGGACATGCTGTGCAGACGCGTGGGCTCATTTGATTCCAGTTGAAGCAACTACACAGACAGCAAATGTTCATATAAATTAATATATTATTCTTATGATTTGCATTAAAAGGACTTGCATTAATATTTTATTAAAATTGGAATAAAGTATAAATGCTCATAGCATTTTTTTTAATTTAATCATTTTTCATACTGTTCTTTGTCCGTCCGTCTGTCCGTAGTCCGTGTGCCGTCCGTCCGCTTGTCCATCCGTCTTTTCCTTCGCCCGCACGTCCGTCTATAGTTATATCAGTTTAGGACTCACCTGACTTCTAAGCTTATCCTCCTGTTTGCGCAACTTGGCGAGCTTGCGCAATCTTCGGGCCTCATCGCCAGCAAATTGTTGCAGATCCCTAGAATACCTGCCATACATCTGCAGATGAATAGAAAGCGAAAGAGATATAAAGTGGATGACTCATCAATATGGCAGACGGCGGGCCAAAAAAAAGCATTCAGAATTTGTCACATGCGATGTGCTAAAAAATTAACATATTTAGATAGGCGTACAATACATGTCAGGTGCATATACATATATGTATATGTATTTAATATTTGTTGTCTGTTTTTTATAAAGAATGGAAAAAAATAATAGAATTGTAAATAATATAGTCACATTTATCACATGCGCAGCGAATTAAACTTTTTAAACAGTGCTAATTAGGCGCAATTAACGTAGTTTCCCCGGAAAATAAGAAAAAAATTAAAAAACAAAAAGTGCCAAAAAAAGTGATACAAAAAGTGTGACCATCGAAAAAAAAATATTTGCATATCTAAAAAGCAAATGCAAACAATTTGCTGTCTGGCACCTGCTCCCAACTTATGTCAGCGCGCTAACAAATATTAGACCACATAAGTGACAAATTATCACTATATATTTGCCAATTAGTTCTCAAACAATAGCCACAAGCCGCTCCACTAGCTGGCCTGCGTATATATATTTTCTTATAATTTGATTTTAAATTAATTGAATCTAACTATTTGCCATATAATAATGGTTCGACGATTACAAATGTTTAGCCAAAATCGTAGTAGACTCGGCTCGGTTTCGATTTCCTCGGTTGCTATGCAGATTTTATTGTCTCAAAACTTTTGTCGAGTGGTCTTTGAACTCGCCTTATGTAAACAATTAAATTTAGAATACGTGGTGAAAGAAGTTGTTTTATTGGGATCACAATTCCTGTACCGAAAGGATATTAAGTCATTTTATATATTTATGTTCTTACGGATATTATGCTGCTTATACTTAGCTAGAGAATGATAAATTTCATTTTATAATTTCACACATATTCACATTCTGTAAGCTTAAAATATTATTAATATAATTTTTTGCTCGAAGGATCAGAAAAATCGTTGCTCACACTCTTTATATATCTTTCAATTAAATGTTGTCGTTTAATCATTTTATTGCTTTTTTATATATCCCAAGTCTTAAAATATTTCTTAGCCCTTACCAGCGTATGAGTATAGCCAAAATCTTCCTGAGCATCGCCTGCGATCTCACGTTTCTCCTGCTCCTGTCGTGCGGTAGATCCATTCGAATATGTATCTGGGGATTGGGACACTAAAGTGGGTGTGTCCTGCTGCGAGGACGACGACACTATATGTTGCGTATCCGCTGCCTGGCTATGGCGCCTCATTTGGATAGTTTTCGAACTACGAACTCTAAACACGAGCCTAAATTTAATTTAATTATCGCAATTTAATTTAAAATTTTTTTTTTAACTCCAAACTTACACTTTTTATATGAATTTCTATTTATTTATTTTTTTCCAATAGCCGATTTATTAGAAGAGACATCCGCGCTCGAGCGCTGCCAAAATGGGTTTATCAATCCAGATCAATAAATGTATTGGAGTTGCCGCAGTTGCCCACAAGCCGCAGCTTCCTCAGTCGACATGGTCGCAGGTGATAATCGAGAGAGCTCAACTGGCCCAAAGGCCCACTCATTTTGCGTTCAAATGCGATCGTGCATATACCCTGTATAACGAGTTAGTTAAAGCTTATAAAAAATGTATTAAGATATTTAAACTTGGCTTCATTGGTTGTGAAGATTCGATAAGATTTTGCCTTGTGAAATTTAAATTACACTATAAGAAATTTGATTACAGGGTAGTTGCAGAGTGTTAACATGGTTCTATATGTTAAGCGGCAGCTTATAGCGCTGTTAACATGGTACTATATGTTAGGCAGCAGCACCTCATAGCACTGCTAACATGCTGGTAACGTGCACATAATATGTTAAAACTCAACTTAGTTTACTCACATGCGATAAATTTATAGCATGCAAAGTTTCGCCAGCAGAGTCTGAGCAAAACTAAATTGTTAGTATATTCTTCAATTAATTACTTAGTATTTGGGAAAATGTAATTCCAAGTATATGAAATAAAAATATTGTTATTTCAATTGAAAGAGTATTTAAATTATCTCGATCCAAATAGATAAATATAGTACCTAGCTCTAAAGTTTATCTTTGGTATATTATTGAACTAACAGATGCTAAAACAATCAAAGCGTAAGTCCTGAGTCCAGTCCTAAATGTATTTTTAAATATTTTCCATTGCTTGTATTGATCATTGAAAAAAAAAAAACTAATGATAAGAGACATAAGGAGACCAATCGCAATTTCGATTTTGCGAATCGATTTATGATGTGTGCTCGGAAAAATGCCTACCTTGACGCTGCTTGCCAACTTGTTCAACTTAACGGATTTTACTTAACGGATTTCAATGTAATTTTCAGCATATGATCTACACATTCTATTGGAGTACTCGTCAGCTTAGTAAAAATTCAATTTCCTTCACATATTGGTCCTCTTTTCAACTGAACTTAAGTTTGAAGAATTTGAAATGATTGACTGGCAAAAAGCTGAAAGCTATATATAACATGACTGACTGACAAAAAGCTGAAAGCTATATATATATATTATGACTGACTGTTAACAAGATGAATGCTATAGAAAAAGGACTGAAAGACAAAATGCTGAAAACCTTTGATTTTGACTGACAAAAAGCTGAAAGCTATATATACCATGACTGACTGAAAATAAGCTGATGGCTTTAGATAAAGCAAGTGACTAAGTTCTGAGCTTTATATAATGTGCCTGACTGACAAAAATCTGAAAGCTGTATATGAAATAACAGACTGACAAAAAGCTGATTGATTTGATTTGATTGCTTTTTTTGTTTTTCTAGGACATTATTTTTTTTTCTCGTGAATGTTGAAAACCTAACAAATGATAAAACTCGACGAGTAGTTATATAGCTGTCAATCATTTAATATTTCAGAAGACGTGATGATTGGAAAGATTTTTAGATGTTGTTTTAAAATATTTATTTTGCACTGGCTGCAACTTAAATATAGATCACGATATCTTTGACTTTATGCACTAGCGAGAGATATAAATACATAACAACTTGATAAACTAATTAATTAATTATGCTATCACTTAGTTTAGGTTTGAATTTGTATCTTTAAAGAAATTTAACAGCGCCATTTAACAAACATTGTTGCCGTAGCTAACAGTAAACATATATACTTTTAAAGATGGGAGCGTAGTTTAAACAGATTTGTTTGTGTCTTGTGTTGTTGCAGTTGCTTTGGCATTTGCATCTGTTGGTGGCAAGGTCAGCGCTACTTCTGACGTGTCGAGAGACTTCAGATGCTCCATTTCAATATCAGAACAGTTGTCAGAGTTAGAGAGTGCCGAATCCATTGAGGTAATGGTCATATCAACGGCTTTGTCACTGGCATTTGGACTCACTGCCAACAGAGGCTTCTCCGCAGCAGGTTTCGAGTCGCGATTAAGGTCCTCGTCGCGAGGATGTGCCACAAAGCTGTTGCTGTTGATGTCCTCGATGGCTTTGCGTAGCTGTTAGGAAAACATCTTATAAATATTTAACTTACACAGCAAATATTTCACATTCACTTACCTCCTTGAGGCCGACCACGCCCACAAGACGTCCGATTTTTGTTACATAAGCATGATTAATGCCCACCATAGAGAACAGCGAATGCACCTTGAGTATGGAGGTGCGTTCGACCAGCTGAAACGGCGAGGGATCTATATGTATCTGTGTCTTTTCCAAATCGATGGGCTTCAGCATTTCCTCCAGTTCCCATTGCTTCTGATCCTCTGGCGACATGTCTATGACACGTTCCCTCGGCTAAAACAGGCAGATGCGTATAAATAAACATTTTTTGTTTGACCATCAGCTATTCAGATTTCTTTTATCGATCGTTCTATCTATAGATATATACATACCAATTGCACTGATTTCGTCTTTTTTGTGATCGTAGTCTGTTTAATGTATTTTATTTGTTGGTGCATTAAAGGAGTTACATATGTATACAAAAACGGGGTACAATGGAAGAATAGAAATAGTTCTGGGTTAAATGTTGGATATAGAAATATTCAATCGGTTAGTATGGATTACACTACATGACACACATAAGTATATAGACATACGGAATATACAGAGAACCAATCTTACTTACCCCAGTTTCCGTCGCTTCGTTATAAGCATCATCATCGTCTTCTATCGCATAGCTCATTTCATTTGATTTTTCATTATCGGATAACTTATCCAACATATAGCCATGATTTGCCGAATCTTTAACTCTCACATCGCAGTTGAATTGAATTTTTTTCTTAAGGTTTCTTTGCTTATCTATATGATTCTCGTTTAGATGGGACACAGCAGCCGGTTCGTGGGTCTGTCTAGTAATATCTGAAACTTTATTTGTTTTGTGTTTAATACAGGTCTTATCTGTATTCACATCGTTGAGCGGCAAATTAATTGGCTTATACGAATCTGTCTTATCTGTTATGGTATCATCTGTGTCATCCTTATCGGGCGGCATATTCAAAGTGTTAAATGTGGCTTATTAATTTGCGCATAACAATCTTTTCAAATATCACCTATATTTGAGTTTACGTTTAGATATACATATATGCAAGGCAAAGCAATTTTCTGAGATCGAGCGAATACTAGAATTGCTGTTCGATTATTACAACTGTCAAGGAAAACTCTCGGGAGCTAAGTTTCATCAAAATATTCACATTGTTAAATTAATAATTTCAGAATTGACTTTAGTTTTGAGTTTGTGATGAGTTTCAACTGTAGAGTTTTCCCTGACGTATTCATTTATTTTTTGTTTGCATTATAAATTAATAATTGTTACCATTTTCTGGGTTGACTCCGATTGAATTGTTATAGGGTTTACTTGCTTTCAGATATGGAATAGGATAGGTGAAGTGTGCAGACAGAGAGAGAAAGAGGTTCATCAGAATACCAAATAGTAATGGATGCATAGAGAAAGAGCGCATGTCCGTCGTTTGTACTTACCAGCATGATCTGGTCGGTAACAAAGTTCCAATTGTTTTGTGCTTGCTTGGAATGCAAATATATTTACAGAAGTAAGCGCAACAGACAAAGCAATTTGGGGAGTTTAACTCCATTAGTTGTTAAGCGTGAATACCCCCAGAATGTAAAATGGTAACATATAGGGAAGGACTTACCAGCTGAACCTTCTTGGATATGCCAGGTGTGCTGGGCACACTAGGTGCACTTTGTACTTGCACCTCAATGTTGCTGGCCGCCGGCGAGATTGAGCCCATTTCCGGATCCGGTTGCACATCCTGCAGCGTGGTGGATTTCTTGAAGATTGCCTCAAATGCGGATCGTATACGAAACTCCGAGTTGCCCGTGATCGTGGTGTAAGGCGTAATGCTGGGGCTGTGCGGTGAGGCGGGTGCATATGTCTTTAAGTTGAAGGAATTGGTCTTCTTTAATATGGACTTTCGTGGCGTTAGGGAGCTGTGCATTGTTTCGGCCCGTTTCTTGGGGGGCAGCATCTCATCGTTAGCTATCTGTCGCAAGCTGAGTATGTCCGGTGCGGGCAGCACCTCGAAGCGTGAGGGCCGACGCTGTTTTAGCTCTGCTTCCTGTTTCTTTTTCTCCTCTTCGATGGCGCGCTCTTCGGCCTCCTTTTGCCACTTTTGTGCCACCTCCATGCGTTTCTCCCGCCCAATGTGTTTCTCAATGATCTTGATTAGCTCGTACCGCTGCACAGATCCGAGCAATATCATATTCTCTGGACTGTCCACAAGTGGAAGCGAGCGCAGCGTCTTGTTGATCTTGAGCACCTCCTTGAGCTTTTGATAGGAGATGCCATGCCAAATGTACTTCACGTCTCGCACCATGAAGTCCTCCACAAAGATGCTGTACATGCCGGAACTGGAAGGCAGCAGATCAGGCAGATACGGCAGCTTCTTAATCAGTATAATACTGTCGTAGATCGAGGGCTGCAGCAGCGCTGCCACCGCATTGGCCACCAGCACGGCTATCATCACGGGCACTACGTGGGTTATCTGTCCGGTCATCTCAAAGATAATCACTGCCACGGATACCGTATGCGTCACAGAGCCGGAAAAGGCAGCTGCACCGACAACGGCATAGCCACCTGGCATAATGGGTGACAATCGACCGCCGTAGCGCACGCCATGTGGAAACCAGGAGGCCATCAGTTCGCCCACCAAGCGACCAAATGCGGCGCCGATTTTAAATACCGGTATAAACATGCCCGACGGCACCGGGATCGTGGACGCTATGATGGAAAAGAAGAACTGCAAACAAAAAAGATTCAATCAGTATTGGATTGCATAGAAAGCGAAATAGATTCACTTGCCGTGAAGATGGTAAAGATCACCAGATTCGCAAAGACGCTTGTGTAGCTGGTCATCCAGTGTGTGACAACGGCAGCCTGTTCCACAGTCAGATCATCACGCGACCAGGTGAAGTTGCTAAACAGCTGCGTCACCTGCTCGTGTGTGCTGAGCTCTCCGGCTAAAAACTGACCTGTGCCCAAGGGAAATGAAATGCTGGAGACCAACAGCGCCAGAAAGCCGGGATACAGGAAGCGGCTAAGAAATAAATATGTTTGAATTTAATAAAAAAGATATCCAATATATGAATCGAACATATTTAATCGATCAGTGCTCACTTTTTCTGCAGAAATTTATTCATGCGTTTGTTGGAACGCATAAAAAGCACATATCGACGATGCACCCACACATAGGTGGCGCCACCTAGGCCGCATACAAAGCTGTTAAAATTCAAATTTTAATTTATAAGTTAAGTTGAGCACAGCAACAAGTGTAGATGGACTCACCCAATCAATGCAAAAACAAACAGCTCTTGCGGATCGAAAGGGAATTCGGTGGTAAAATTGGTTAGGAACAGCGCACGCACAGTATCCGCGTTTTGGAACCACACGGCCAGCAGTCGAAAAACCGTTGCACCACAAACGGCCGCAAAGAAACCGCGCCAATAGTTTCGCACCGCGAAATACGTTGTGGTTACCTCAATGCTAAATAGAACGCCTGTCGAATGGATCAAACCGTGTCAAATTTTTTGAAACTTTAGTAAGTGAATTCCAGTACTTACCGCCAACGGGCGCGGCAAAGCAGGCGCCCACGCCGACGGCACAAGCAGCCGCCAGCATTTCGGAGTTGCGGGACTCGTTCTCATATATGCCTTGGAATGATGTGACGAGTTTACTTAATAATTGTGCTACAATACTTGCTATATGTACGAAAGGACCCTAGAGACAATGTTAGTTTTTTATTTTTTTTTTTTCGATTGAAGAGCTTTCCAAAATGTGTGAGTTGGTGTGTGTGTGTGAGTGTGCGCGTTGGTGGGTTAGCCGTTAGCCGGCATCAATTTTTCATACTTACTTCCTTTCCTAATGGCATACCGCTGCCCAGAGTTGCCATTAAACCAATTACCTTGGCCACTAATGTCTTAAATGTGAGATACTCTTTCAACGCAACGCCGCGCAGTATGGTCTTCATTTCAGGTATACCGGAACCTAAACATAGGCGAGGTTGAATAAAATACAATATGTATCTAGAATTTGCAATTAGCACGTGGTATGTGCTTTGGTTAGTGAATATCATTCATAAATTAGTAAATTTGTTGTGCTTATTGCGGGGTAATCAATTTCGAGTATAAGACATATAGACATTTAGTTGGGGTAGTTCAGTTGTTAGAGGTGCCAAGTGCGTTTGGTGCGGGCAGCTGCCGGATTGCAGTGGTACAGGGTTTTTATCAAATGAAAACGGGCTTACTTCCACTCAAAATAACCTATTTTTATGATTCTTTAACTGGGATATATAAGAGCTCGTCTTAACCTTAACATTTTGAATTATTCTTTAAGTTTTAGAAATATTTATAGAAATCTAATTTCATATTAAAGGAGCCTGCAGCAAAAATAATTTGCTTCAACATATTATCTAGTATTTATTAGGAATCCTAAACAACCATCGAAGTAAGTAAGTAAGTAAAAAAATTAATATAGTTTTCAGTTTTTGATTTTTTTTCTGCTTTGGAAAACTCAAATAACTACGAATTGTGGAACATACTTGAAAAATAACTACAGATATACTCTCAACTCAAAAACATAACTAAATGAATACTAAAACAAAACACTATTTACGTGATAGAAACACGTTTTATACAAAGATCTCACTTACAGGAAATACTTAACAAATTCTAAATTCTAGCCACTTGTGATAGTTATTTAGTTAGTACTTCACTTACCTATACTTTGCGGTGCGATGAGATGCACAAAGCCGGCTGAGAATAATATTAGACAGACCGGCAATGATACCCAAGCAATATACTGTATAAAGGGCTGTGAAGTAAGATCGCGATAGAGCCAAATACGAGCTATAATGATATGTGGGCAAAGTTGTGAATCAATAAAAATAGAACTAGGAGATAGAATGAACGTAATGTCTGGCCGTGGGTTTACCATTTGTACATATCGATATGCCCTTGTCCATGATAAAGGAGAGCAGGGCCATTATGATGCCGAGCAGGGCCAGGAATACCCAATCCTCGCCCAATCGGGCCAGTGTATGCTTCCATATCCATGATGAGATGCGTTTTATGCGCGTCGCTCGTTTACCCAAGAGTTCCTGTAAATATTTCCCAGCACTGCTGCTTTATAAACCGATGCGCTCAGAATGATCTTAACATACACGTTTATATATTTATATGTATTTAGATATATAGACGAATATTACATGTAGTACTGTATGTAGCTACCACTGTCAATGGGATCCATTGGGATATATGCCAAATTATTTTTGTGCATATTCAAAATGGCGTTTGTGAAATTCATGAATGCGAGTAGTTTGCATAATTTCCGATGTTAAGTGAATATATAGAGTATATTTGTCTATAAAAATTGTATGCTTTACCTTAAGTATTTATATATTTCTCATTACGTTAGGCATATTATAATATATAGATTGTCACATGATTAATTTTCAAAGAAATAATAAATATCTACATACTGTCTTTGTTTTTATATTTAGAATTTACCTTATTTCTTTGTTTATCTTCTTGCTTTCGTCGCTTTTCGAGTAGTTTGAGTTTTCTGGCTTCATCTTTAGCAAATTCTCCTAGATCCTTTGTGTAACGACCATACATCTGTGAAATAACGTATAATAATAATTGCAAATATAAATATGGTATATTTTATTTTCCTATACCTATAAGGCTTTGTTAATTGCCTCTTGTTCAATTGCTTAAATAAATGGAATTTAAATACAAGTAAACGGTGTCCACCATCCTCCAAGAATACCAAACACTTACTAGCGCATTCGGTTCACTTGTTGATCATTTTGGCAGCAGCCAAAGGTCCCATACATATTATAAATAACTTAAAAAACACTCGTATTTTTAAATAAACCAAACAAAACCAGTAGTAGTGCTCTAGTAGGCTGTGATCGACTATAAGATACCTAATATATATGAACTTCCTAAAAGAGCACTAAAATCTAAGTTCGCTGTAGCGACTCACTCTCTTTGCTGATTAGCAATAGAAATTTGTAATATAAAAAAAACGCTCTACAAGAGAACTGCACATCATACCCTAGCTTGGTCATTTACATTGTATACAGGGTATATATATATAAGAAAAAACAAATCAAAACAAAAATATAACGTTAAAAAAACACAAGAGAGAACATAAGCAAAGAATTTTCGTCACGAAACGATTCTTATTTACGGAAATTCCCATTTCATGGATGAGCAGCATAGCAACAAAAAAAGAAAAGAAAATTCGCATTTTATGAGAAATTAACAATGATTACGCAGATAAATGCTTTTTGACATGTGTGTGTATATATGAGACTAAGACAGACTGAATAAAATGAGAGTCGTTTCTTTGCGTGAGTTTGGAGAGCACTAGCATAGAGAGCGAATATGCCAATATGTAATATGTAAGTATAAAAAAGAAAAATAAATAAAAAATTAAAATATAAAAGCTTTCAGCAGAAAATAAAAAAAACAATATTTTAATTATTTATGGTTAGCTCGTGAAAACTTATTCATAGAGCATAGATTTGTTTTGAACTATATTATAGCTTAGATATTTATTGTATATTTTTTCTCTAAGATGCAATTTTTTTAATATTTGAGGTATAAAATTTAAAGTGAGTGCGTCTTTTATATATACACAGAATGCCTCAAGTAGAATTCATTGACAATGCAATCCGAAAGGTCCCCAAGAAATATGCCACGGTCAAAACAAAAATGAAATAAATAAAAATAATTAGGTATGCGACACGAAAGAACAGGAAAGAAAAGAAAAAGAATATCGAAAGAAAAATATAAGAAATGCAACAGAAATAACATACCAAAAGAACGAGCAACGCAGCTAATTTCCCAGAGGTCTGGGCGAAGGTCTGTTTTGGCTGGGTAAATATGTCTTCTCTGGCCAGAGAATCATAGAATTTTGCATATGTATTTGCAAAGCTTTTAGCTGTAAATAGATCTGGTTCGTCTAACACACCCAGCTCTGGTACCAGATGCGAACTGAATAAACAGTTTTATGTCAAATTCGGATATTCGAATTTTTGAATATTCGTACATAGGAGAATATTAAAAAAAATCTAAATCAGTTGTTCTTAAGAAACGGGAACTAATTCCAGTCACAAACTCTTGGGATCCTGACTATGTTTACCGATATGCTCACATAAGCGAACGATTCAATTTCGAACTCAAGTTCTGACTGAATTTTCAGTTCGAAAAATTCAAGCTGCTTGCAACAGTCTCGGCATTTGGAATCCTGATTATATTTACTGATATTCACAAAAAGCAGAATGCTTTATTTTCGAGCTCAAACTTGATGACAAACGGTCTTGGAAGTTAGGACACTATCTCTTATGCACTAGTTCGAAAACTTAGAGCACTGATTCCAATTGCCAATTAAATTACACAGTAAATCGTATAACTTTCGCACTCAAGTTCGAATTGAATTAGTCGTTCGTTAAATTGGAGCTAGTTCCAGTTCTAGGTGATTGAATCGTTATGTTCACTAATATTCTTACATAGTAGAACGCCTCAATTTCGAACTCAATTTGATTCTTGTCATCGCTGGCTGTTTCAGCGGATTTCCGTTGCTGTTGTTGCTTCTGCTTGGCAATGGCCTCATCCCAGCGCAGACGAACGGGAGTGGCGGGTACTTTGTGGGCGCGTTGCTCCTCGCGCAGATACTCCTCGCGATTGATCAGCAGCTCCGGCTCGAAGGCGTATTCGCGAATGTACTCATCCTGGTGAGTGCGACTGTTGTTGAACATGAAGTAAACCGAATTTGATTACGTTGCGAATTTCGAAATTCGAATAGACGAATGCGATTTGTTCTATGATTGTTCAATGTTAGATAGAATATATCTTATATATATTGATGTTGCTGTTGTGGTAATTTTTGTTCTTGTTGTTGTTGTTGTTGTTGTGCTGCGTGTCTGTCGTTTAGATCTGTATTACGGCCTTTGACATGCCTGCGGCTGTTGGCCGAATTTCTGTTTCGCATTTTGTTGCCAATTATTTTTAGTTTTTCAGCTTCTTCTTCTTCTTACAGTTGAATTTTCACATTGCAAGTCGCTGCCCTTGAGGCGCGCCCCGTCAACATTTGTAAATTGTATTGCAATTATTTTTAACACATTTACAATCAGATTATATGATAAAAGATTTTCATAGATATTCAAATATCTATTGACACAGCATTATTTTTTATTTAAATAAATTTGCACAAAATAATTCGTAATGATTTTTCTCAGTATTTTCTATTGATTTTCACGCATTTGTCCGACAATTACGCTGCGTTGTAATCTTTGGGAAAACTTTTTTAAAACTAAAACGGACACGTTCGCGAGCTTTTCCGTTTGTGTGAAAAATTATTGAAATTTTCTTTCGACCGCACTCTAGCCGCTGTGCATTGCCCAGGGTAACCAGCTGTGTCAGAAAACTCGGAACGTTGAACATAAGCAATATATTGCCAAAGAGCTACAAATAATGCTTACCACGAGTTAAGAAATTCAGGAAATTTAGAAAAATTTAACAATTTTCAACAATTAAATACATTGGTCTTATGAACTTAAATAGAGCTCTGCTTTCTTAGATGAATCTTTAAATTTTTGAATTATATTTTTCAGTTAAAACTTCAGCTTTATTTTTGAAAATAGTTTTTTTTTTAGTTAGTCTGGTTACCCTATTCCTTGCAACCTACTACCTTCGACAGTGAAATAATTTCTTAACTTATAATAAACGCTAAATATTATTCATTATAATCCGATTAAAAATAGCAACATTTTTTTGCACCTCTTTCCATTCTCATTTATTATTTTTCATTGCTTTTACACATTGACACGAAAGGGGAAAACACACCAAACAAAATATACCAGTGCTGTAGCTTTGTAAGCTAGAACTATCTGAATACCCTGACTCTCAACTACAGACAAAAAGAGCCGAAGAGTCTATACTCTGGATTATCTTGATTATAAATGTCTTTGGTCCATTTACCAAACCATCGCTAAACCAATTTTTGAGTTTCCTCAGTGTTCTTTAAAGTTTTGCTGTGCACGATTTTATCTTTAATGTTAGGAAAATTTTGGTTGATTTATGTTTATTATGGCTATGCCAATCTTTGAGCAATTCAATTAAAAGTTTTCCGCCTTTTGCTGTATCACTTAGTCAATATACCAATTAGACAAATCACACATTGGCAAAGTGAGTTAGATCTATAAAATTGATATATAAGCTGTAAGCAGACATGATTGTTATTGGATTGCTTGCTGAATAGACCATTCATGTTCGATATAAAGATAACGCTATTGGCACTTCGGTTACTGGGTACAAATAGTGCAAGAAATCTTATCACTTAAACGGATGGCTTACTTAAGTAGAGTGATACAAGTTTGTCGATCGTTTACATGTATGCCTACTGTGTGTATAGAAATGTATATTTTGCTTACGAGTGTGTCGATATATCCAAACGGATCATCGTCATCAGATGAGTCGGAATCGGGTCCATTTTCGGCTGGCGGTGGACATGGATAGAATGCCTGCGATTTGATTTTCGGGTGTTTCTGGACATGACGCAGTTCCGTCTCCATGGATATGTTACTTTTACGTCTCTGGCGCAACTGACGAATGAACTTCTCAAAATCGGCCCACTCTGAGTCTACCAGCTCGACATTCTCTTCACCAAACTCTTCATCGTGTATGATACGTTCGACTTGCTGTTTGGCTTTGGTCTTGCCATTGCGATCACGATTATCGCGAGTGGCAAAGTACACCATGGCTGGTTCTATATATATATATACGTATGGGGTGAATATAGCTAAAGAGAGTAACGCGATATCAATACGACGCACGAGTCTCAAAATTAGTTAACCGATTGTAGCTATTGCCATGGCTAAAAGCCTTTGCGGGCTAATAAAATCTTCGCTTTGCTTATGCAATTGCAGTAATTGAGCGCTTCCCGTCTGGGCTCTTGGTATCTATTGCACTGTTGCATCCGTCAGATAAAGTATCTTTAGCTGCGTGCGTCTCGCATCAAGTTTAGAACACAACTGAATCTGTGGCAGACTCGTCTCGATATTGTTCCGCTGAGGCTCAAGATTCTACATAAAATGTAGCACAGAGACTCAAGTGCTTAGAACCGACTTGCATTTATTCCCTCCCTCCACACACACACACGCACACCCGCACAGCCAACCACACTCATGCGGTCAAAGTTTTGTGTAAAACATCAATAAAATTTCATAAATTTAATAATTTGTGCCGCCTGGACTAGAGCAAAAGTGAAAATACCATGACGCACACTGGGGCAAAGGCTATGATAACTGCTGCTCAGCCAAATTCTTTTCTACTTATTTTAAAGATATGTATATGTATTTCATTTATTTGTATTCATTTTTGTGCATCTTGCCCCAGTGTGCCTTGTCACTTAAGCAGCTCAAATTGAGTCGACTTTTCGACGACATCATCTTGCTTTAAACTCTTCAAGTGTTTTTTCAATATATGTGTGTAGGTGGATTATGCACATGGCACCGAGTCACATGTTTGTGATTGTCTATGCGGCATTTTCTCAGATACAAATGTATCTTTTTTCAGATTATTTTTGTTGCTCCGTAAGTGTCGTGAGCGCAGTGCAAAGTTTGGTTTTGATTGAATTGCTCAATTTAGTGCGACGCCTGTCCAAATGACGGCATTAATGATGTGCCTAACCCTAAATAGGTTGAATATACTGTCGCTGACTCTGGGTGATCAACCAGAACAACGCAAACACCCTACATTGCTTATTCCATATAGATCCTGCTCTTGACAGTAGCAAGTTTTATGATCCTATGAACCTATGCGCAATGCACGTGACCCTGTTGAAGAAGGTCGCACAGAGAAAAGCGTAAGTAAGAGAGACAGAGAGCTACTGCTGGAGAGATAGAGATACAGATGGACAGATAGAAATATATCTATATATATATATACATATATAGATGTATAGATATATAGACATTAACATATAATAATAATAATATATATCTATTGTTTTATACATAGATTGTTATTATACTATTTCTTTTTTTCTTCTTTGTATACATCAAGATAAAAACTTAAAAAAGAGAATAAGATGGCTTATTATTTTAAAAAAACTACTTTCTCCGAATAATTCGAGATGACTCTGCGTCATATAGTGGTTCAATAACTATTATCTCATTTAATATTTTATTGAAATATCTGACCGGGCAGATTCCCACAACGACATCAACTCGTATAAAGGGGATTCAAATTGAACTGCTTGCTACTTGCTTTACATTTGTAGATCATTTTGTGCATACAACTAAGAGATTTACTTTCATAGTATACGTTGAATATTATTAAATGATACATTATATGTATTTATATTTTGTGCTTAAAATAATATTTAAATTCGCTTTCTTGCATTGCTCTATAGTTTTGTGTGCTGAGTTTCGAATAGAAAAGACAATTAATGAATGGTCATGAAATCAATTTTGAATGAGTGTTACTCAGTTAAATAAAGTCCAGCCCGGATCTCTATCCTTGAATGACACTCATGAAATACTAATCTAAAATGATCCCGAATTTACAACAAATAGCTAGGTGGCTTCTGAAATACGGCGTCAATTGTTTGAATGCCGTTTGATCTTTGAAAAATATATTTTTTGAATATTTACCATTCGAATTTTTCGAAGAGTATTCAACATTTATATCCGTCATAAAACAAAAACGAAACAACACCAAAATGGAAGCTTTTTCCTTTCTAGGAACAGATATTTGTATGTCAATATGATCTTAAAAAAAGTTTTTCAAATTTTTTCATTTGACAGAAATTAATTTGAATTCAAAGAATTTTCTGAATATGTATATATTAACATTTTTGCAAAATTCGTGTTATAAAAATGATGAATTTTTTAAATTGAATTGCAGCTTAAAATTGTGTTTAAAGTTGACGAACCTTAAGATTTCTTTTAAACATTTCGAAATTTTCTGACTTGTTTTTTGAATTTCAGGAATTAAACAAAAAAAAAACGCAACTAAAACCAGAGTAAAGCGAACTTGGCCACAATTCCAGGGCAACTGAAGATCATGGCAGATGTTTGGCCGCAGCCGTAGAAATCAATTTTAATAGCATCCCAATCCCAAAATTCCGGCCAAGATAAAGGCGTGAATAACAACAGCAACAACAACACCTGTGCGAAAATTAATTAAAAATGTTAACAAATAACGTAATCGTGTAATATTTGCACAGATTCACGAGATAAATTCGAGCCTTATGCAAGTAGAATAAATAATTCAATATTATCTCAAATGCAATTCACATTTATGACCTGAACCAACTGGATGGTAGTGAAATAGCTGACGGCAGCTTTTAACGCCCCACAATAAAACACATTGTTAATTGTATTAAACAATAAAACGATCATAAACATTCACAATCAATGAGTGCAGCCGCCAAATCAAATCGATTCGGATTTTACGCCACAATCGTGGCCCCTACTAAATCAAAGTGATCGCCGATAGGGAAGCTCTTTTGATTGATGATGATGGCTTACGGAGCATAGCCCGATAAGACAAAACAATCAATGATCGAATAACTGTATAGTGTTGAACAAAAAAATACATTTTTAAAATAATTTTCTAAATGATAACTAAATACATAGTAGTTATAAAACTACAAGGATCTGATTTGAGTTTGAGTATGTCAGGCTAGATATGAATGAGAAAATGTTGTTGGCAAACGTCAACGTTTTTATTTTTTAATGTGTCGCATCATGTGTTAATTGTAATTTTTTACTTAATAATTATGATAATTAACTGATATCATTGTCACAATTTGGAGCGGAGTACGAACATGTTTGGCTACTTCCACATTACTCATACGTCGCGTTGATCGTCAATTGTTTACAAGGGGCCCTTTCGAATTGATTCAGAGTTACAGGTTGGGAAACAGGTTTGACTGAGAAATTTGTATTTTTTGTTAACATAAGCTAACATATTTTTACATTGCAAAGATCTATGTAACAGATTTTCGATGAAGATTTTCAATTTAGAAGTCACAAATTGAACGTCTCGGCTGGTAACCTGTAACCAGAACTCTAACTACCAATGTTATCACTAAGCCTTTTAGTCCTTACTTAGTATTCTTCCTTTGATATCAAGACCAAAACTGATCCTCAAATAAAAAGATAAAATAACATTAATTTAATTGAAATT